AACACAAATGTTTCATTTTTGAATAATGCCACGCTTTTTAATTGGGGAAAAGATCTTTATTTCCATAGAGATTATTTATGATGTTATACCATGAACTTTTGCTTCAATGGCGTAACGATCTGTATGTAATATTATAGAAATATAGTTAAAAAGTCGTGAACTCGATCCTCGCTTAAGGATCGGATAGGAGGCACCTGAGATAGATCACAGAAGACTTAACGTTCCTGAATCGGTACTTTAGAGCTTGGAGGTTCGCAGGAGCTGCCAGAGATATGCTCTTGAGGTGCCTTTCATATAATGGACCTTGTGTCTTGCAACAGATCAGAATCCGTATTTAGTACTCCAATAGTGAAGGGTAGGGAGAGCCACAATTTTCATAGAAGAGCTAGGATCCTCAAGTAGTGATTGTGAAGGGGGTTTGCTGGTTGCATCTTCTTCTTGAAGGTTTTGGGGGTTGATGAGCATTTTTACCCATACTCGAGGAGTTTGTCTTGAACGACCATCTTGACTTCGATAAGAAAAGGACATAAGAGATGTAGAGGGTCTAAGACAGGGTGCAAGTCTATAAGAGCTCATTATCTGAGAGGATTCAGCGCTCCGGATTTCGCGAATAATGTGCCAAAATTAGGATTTGTGTTGTTGAAATGGAAAAGGACTTAATGTACTAATGCAATCCAAATGGAATGCATGAACGATGAGTAAAACTATTTTTTTACGGGTGACTAAAATTAAAGATAGTTTTCGGTGTAAAATGAGGGTCCGACTGGTTTCCCCGCTACCACCCGCAAACGCAGCTTTTGCGGTTGATGGCGGTTGCTAGCGTTTTGCAACAATCACAAAAACCACTACAAATCGCTTCAAACCGCTCCCAACCTCTTAAAATCAAAAGCTGGTTTCAGCTAGCGTTTGCGTTTGCGGGTGATTGCGGGTGGGTAAAAACTATTTTTAAAAAATTTAAATTAAAATATAAAAATAAAAATAATATAACTAAAACTATATCTACCTTTTATTTTTTAATTTAAATTCACTAAAAATATCATAATCTATTTATAAAAACTTTAAATCAAGAATTTTCACTATATTTTTCAATATTAAATATATAAATATATAAATATATAAATATATAAATATATAAATGTATAAATATAATTAATTATATTATATTATATTATAATATTATATTTTTATCTAAATAAAATTATAAAAATAATATTGTTATTACTTATAATATATTAATAGTTATTATTTTTTTATCATAACAGTATGTTTTGCTATTTTTATAATGTTATAATTTGTTAATATTGGAAATTTATTATTGAACCGCTGTAG